TGCCTGTAAGTAGACAATTATTATTAATAATGCGTTGAATACTGCAATTCTAATTTTGATATCGCACTTAATAAGTTTCTTTTTTCCCAAATAAATTTCTATTTTATACGTGGCTCACATAATTCGCCTTGTGTGTGATCCACATTTGCTGAATAATGTGTCGTATGTCATAACGGTTATATTTTATTACTTTATGCGCTACATCCTAAGGATGGATAAGTACTAACAAAGAAGAATCCCATTTTACTTTACGGATAAATAATTTCAGAACTGTTTTATTATTCCACGCAAGCACTTGCAGTTTCAAACTTCAACTCGTCAGATGTAGACCAGTGATGAGGAATGCGTACTAGTTTATGCGTTTCGTCGTAAAAAAATCTTGAAGCTTAGGAGAGAAGTATACACAATTATTTTATTAATTTCAAAGTATACTGAAAACACAATAAATAATTATTAAACTGTAGTTATAATTTAAATTGTAGTTCGCACATTTCGCTGATTATGTTCAATCCATCGTCGAAATTTCAAAGAGTCAAGAGTAAAATGTGGAAAAAATGGCGATTATTTCAAGCTATAGATTTTCAATCTTTTGATGTGTCTCTTTTTCACGCTCTTGCACATTTTTGGAATATTTCCGTACAAGATTAACGCTTAAATCTTCGAGGCATCAAGACTGCGTTACATCCTACCAATTATCGTTACCTGAGCCATCTGCGTTTTTGAATTGGCAAGAATTTATAAATCGAATACGGTGCAGTGGCACAACGGCCTGTCTATCAATCTACAGATTGAGCAGATTCATAACACACGCTTAATGTCCTATTTGATGTTACACGTTATAAAAGTAATGTCAACAGTGTGGGCCTGCGAAACCGGCAAGATTCAAGCTATAAAAATTAATACCACTGTTCATGATGTTCTTAACAGCACCAGCAACGGGAAAATAAAAAAAGAGGTACATATAAAAAAATTTTATTTGTACTTATATTTTTAAATAATTCACAAATTAATATATTGTAAAATATGCAACTAATTTATAGTTATATTTTTTTAATCCATTTACAACTTATTAATAATTATTTTTCTATCTGATGTTGCAGTTGTATCTGTTTTCTTTGCAAATAATGTATCGCGACAATACATTTTCTGCGGAAAATTTTACTGTGGATGCGACTCTTCTCACTGCGGCAAGTAATCAATTGATATTTACCTTATATAAATTGATTTAAATTTCTTAAAATTAAAATACAGTTTTTATTCTTTTAAATCTTTTAAATGGTGGGTACCATTACCACATATCTTTTAATTTTAATTTAATTCTTGATCACATCGGATTCTTGTGATAAAAAAAACGCAATCAACATTAAACTAATTTAAAAAAGTACTAAAAGTCAAATTAAAAGTACTTACTATAATAAAAAAAATGCATTTTTGAAAACTAAAATATTATTCTTTTTACCGTTTCAAGTATAATATATTCATCTGATGTTTTATTTGTACAAATACATATTATTGTACATATATACATATATGTAATGGAAATCTATTTTAATTTATTATATCTTAGTAGACTTACCAAGAAATAATTTGTAATTCATATCCAGCTTCATATAAATTACACTCGGAAGATAAATACCAATTTCAACTTGCTTTAGATTAAACAAAAAGTGTGTACTGAAACTTTTACATCATATATTACAATACATTAAAAAATAATATTACAATAATATATTAACCATAAAAGAAAAATGTAATTTTAAAATAATAACTTAAAAATGTTGAACATTTAATCTTTAAATAGGATAGTCGATATTAATAAATCTTAAAAAACTTACAACTAGCTAGATAATAATATATTCGATATCTCCCGTCTTGTTTATGCAAATTTGATTCTTCTAATGAGCGATCTAGATGTACAGGGTGATGGATCATACTTATTACAGCAATTATGTTGCATTATGCAGTACATTAGAAGGTTGATATTGTACTATTCAAAGAACTCCATGGTTACTTCAAGCCAACAAATAATTATGTGAGTTATGGACTTATAATTCGTAATAACAACTTCCAGTTTTACATTTAAACTCATCGCGGAGAGTCCATGTTAATTTCGGCACTCGTTGCAGGAAAACAAAAGTGAAAATTACAAAAGGAGCTTTCGCAATCATAATCACGTCAATTTAAAGTGCTTACTATTGACATTCCCATAATTGATAACGGGACTAACAATTTTTAAGTAATTTATCCTAGAAAACTTGGCTCATCATGTTCAGTCCGAAATTCGAAGGAGATAAGAGCGAGAAAGAAAAAAGGAAACGGTGGCTCTTCCATGCCACGGATTTTATATCCTTGATGTATCCTTGTTTGACCTTCTGTCGCATTCTCGGGATATTCCCGTATAAGATCAACGCTTCGTCCTTCGAAACTTCGAAACCTTGCTTTATTCTATCAACTATAGTTATGTGTATTTTCAGCTTTTGCACGCTGATAATAATCTATATGGTTATTGAATGGTTCCGCGTGAATGACAACAATGTACGCAAAATTATTGAAATTACCTCCTTGTACGTGTTCGGTAGTTTCATAGTGATCGTTACGTTCATTTTGAGCGGTCCACGAATGCGTTTTCTTCAAACTCTACTGAAGATCTCTTCAAGACTACCTTCAGAATCGTATCAGCAGCCGTCTATACTAATTCACGCCAAGGACATCCTAGGTTTCTTCTACTTACTCGTGCAATCATTGATCTGTTATTATAAGATGAAGGAACCTGTCATAATCGACGTATTCTCATTGTACATCACTCTGCTAGGGTTTCTGATGGATATGCTGTATATAAATTGCGTTTGTGTATTAAAGGCTTGTTTCAAGAAAATTAACGACGATTTGGCAAATTTGTTCATAATGCACGATGAACCGTATTCAATTATGCGGAACTATCATGAGCAGAGAAATCCTCTTTTGCTGATAGAACTTAACGCCTTAGAAAAGCGACATTTGAAACTTAGCAATACAGTGCAGAGATTAAATATAATTTTCAGTCCGCAGCTTCTCGCAACCACAGCCATATCTTTCATCACGATTACTTTTAAACTATACTTCAATACGATAGAGTGGCATAACGGATTGTATATAAATCTGACTAAGCAAACCCACCACACTTACGTAATGGTCTTCATTGCGTATTATTTTGGAAAAATCGTATTAATAGCATGGGCCTGCCAGACCGGCAAAAATGAAGTTATGAAGATTAACACTACTATTCACGATGCGCTTAATAGCGTCAACGATGAGGAAATCAAACATGAGGTATTAAAAAATTAAATTTCTATTTACTTCTTTTCAATATTCAGACATATATGTATATATATATATATATATATATATGTGTAATTAATATATATAAATTGTCCAATGTATAATATAATTATTTTCCTCAAATCCATTTGTAAACGTTTTTTAATCTGATGTTACAGTTGCAGCTGTTTTCTTTGCAAATAATGCATTGTGACAACACATTTTCCGCCAAGGGTCTCAATCTGGATGCGACGCTTGTCGCGACGGTTAGTGAGCCACAATTATGAGAATGTTTGAGAATATCTTGAATTAATCTTTAATACCTTAAATTAAAATAGTTATTGTAAAACATTTAATTAAAATATTTAATTTACAATCTTACTTTCAGATGACGGCCTCCATCACTACATATCTTCTAATTTTAATACAATTCTTGATCGCATCGCATTCTTGTGACGGAAACACTGCAATTAATGTTACCCAAACAGCTTAAATCAGCACAAGCAAAAAAAATACACAATGGAAACTAGATCTACTTTTCGGTATATTTATTAAAGAAATTTACTTTTAAGTATTGAAAATATGTTAAATTATCATTTTAATCAATATCATTGTATGACATAATTATTCGACACATTATAATTGTCAAATACGTACCTTGAAATGCATATGTATGTATATCTAGATCGTCATGTAAAAATTATTTATCATATACATATATGTTCATATAAAGTTGAAAATAAATAAGTTAAACATAGCTATTTGCCCATGCAATATAAACTTTACAATATAAACTTATTCATTTTCATAAGGACAGTTTCATTAAAATTTTATCGAAAACAATGTAAGATGATCAATGCATTACTATTGTAATAACGTACACTTCTTTTGCCATCCTATTTTACTTAAAGCCTTGAAATAAAAAACTATAATTACCTTATAATAATTTCTCATCCGTAAACAATGTTGTAGCTGTTGTTTAATAATAAATTCATCAATTGTAATACATCAATCAATTTTATCAATTTTAATAATTACTTAGATTAATTCTAATTTAAAAAATAGCATTCGCATTTCTTCATCTTATTTTTGTTAACTTTTATTACATATATTAATTATATGTAATAATATAAACGCGTGCAACATTATTTAATAGTAAACTATGGCCACAAAAAGGCAAAATATTATATGAAAATCGAGATTAGCTTACTACATCTTAATAGACTCGAAAAAAATAATTCGTAATAGGTCATTATCAACTCAATATGCATTAAAGGCGCAAAATAATCGATGATCACTTTATCGCTACATTATAATGATGATCCGCTTATAATTTCAAGAGCTCCATGGTTACTTCATGCCAACAAATAATTCGTGAGTCATATCTTACAATCCGTAGCAACAATTTGCAGTTGTATACTTAAATTCATCGTGGATAGTTCATGTTAGTATCCGCGGATTTGTTGCAAAGAAACATAAGAGTGAAGACTACATTTAGAAAAGTTTTCGCAATCATGATCACATTAAAATTAAAGTGCTCCTTACAGGAAGTGGAATATTTACGCAATTGATAACACGATCAACAATTTTCAAACAGCTCATCCATAAAACTTCGCCAATCATGTTCAATTTGTCGAAAAATCAAGAACGAATTAAAAGTAAGAAAAAAGGAAAATGGTGGTTATTCAATGCCAATGATTTTCAATCTTTGATGTATCCTTGTTTCACTTTCTGCCGAATTCTCGGAATATTTCCGTACAAGATCAACAATTCATCCTCCGCAATATCTAAACCGTATTACATTCTATCGATTATAATAATATGTGCGTTCTGTTTTTACACGCTGATAAATATGATGAATCTTTCTGACTGGTTCGATATCCGTCAAAACGTACACAAAACTATTGAAATTTATTCCTTCTTCGTAATCGGCAGTTTTATAACGATCGTTACGTTCATTTTAAACCGTCCACGAATGCGTTTTCTTTGGACCATACTAAAGATCTCTACAAGACTTTCTTCGAAGGTGTATCAGAGGCAGTCTGTGCTAATCCACGGCAAGGATATTTTCGGTTTCTTCTTCTTACTCATATATACAATCATCGATTTTTACAATGCGCAAGTATCTATCGTAACCATGCTGTGTCCATTGTATATCAATGTGCTAGTGTTTCAGGTAGATATGCTGTACATAAATTGCGTTTGCGTATTAAAAGCTTGTTTTACGAAAATCAACGATGATCTGGCAAATGTGCTCATAATGTACAATGAACCGCATTTAATCAGAACATTCTGCCATAATCAGAGGAACTCTCTTTTGCTGACGGAGCTTAAAGCCCTGAAGAAGCGACATTTGAAAATTAGCGATTCAGTGCAAATGCTAAAAATAATTTTTAGTCCGCAGCTTCTCGCAACTATGGCTTCAATCTTCATTCATATTACTTTTGAACTATACTTCAATATGGTATCGTGGAAAAACGGATTGTTTATTAGTTGGACTAAATACGTTAATAACAATGTAGTTCCCTATATTGTGTTATATTTTATCAAACTAGTATTGATAATATGGGCCTGCGAGACCGGCAAGAATGAAGCTGTAAAGATTAGCACTAATGTCCATGATATACTTAATAGTACTAAGGACGAGCAAATTAAATATGAGGTATTAAATAATTTAATTCCTATTTTTTTAATATTCCTTATGTTGATGCATTTTATATATATATAAAATATAACACAATTTCTATAATTACTTTTTTCAAATCTATTTGTAAATGTTTTTTTTATCTAACATTGCAGTTGCAGCTGTTTTCTTTGCAACTAATGCATTGTGATAATACATTCTCCGCGAAAGGTCTCAGTCTGGATGCAACACGTCTCACAGCGGTAAACGAGCGATCATTTGTCACAATTGTTTGAATATATTTAATTTAAATTATTTATTACATTTAATTTATAATTTTGCTTTCAGATAATGGGTACTATCACTACATATTATTTAATTTTAATACAATTCTTGATCGCGTCAAATTCTTGCGACGGAAAGAAACTGTAATCAATATTACACATGCAATTTAAATCAGCACAAAGAATCTCAATACAAAATACATAAATAAAAATAATTAGTTTTTGAATACTAGAAATGCTTTCTTTTTTATCATTGTGACTCTAAAACGTAATCGTGATAAACAATATTTTATATTTGTAAATACGTTTAAATGTATACCTAATATGATTATTTTTTTTTACACGTGATTCTTAATTTATCAAAAGATCCCTTAAATAAGAACAGAATATATTTAACATATTTTACGATTATAATTTCGAATTAGAATTTATTAAAAATATAATTAATTCCTTATCTAATACTTTCATTAATTTTTATCTTATTTGAATAATTTAACTATCATTAAATATTAAATTCGTATATCTAAAGTATATTTAAATAACCTGTAAAATAACTTGTGCAAGTTTACAATACACAGTTAACTTCAAATTTTGTTATTATTCATTTTGTTATTATTGTAATCACGTATACTTTTTTCATCATCCTACTTTCCTTTATTATTCTTGAAATAAAAAATTAGATACTTTAAAATAACAACTTTTGTCTATAGAAAACATTGTAACTATTGTAAAAATAATAAAATCAACAGTTAAAGTATTATATTAATCAAATAAAATTTATTAAATGCTTAGATTAATTACATATAATCCAAATAATTACATTGTCATTGCATTATAACTTATTTTTATTTCGCATTCATTAAATATATGCCTTTCACAATAATGTTAATGTTTAACAAAATGCGAACATTATTTTACAGTAAACTGGTACATTATATATATCAATATATTATGTCCACAAAAATGCAATATATTATATAGAAATTATCTTATTACATCTTAATAGACTCGACGGAAAAAAATAATTCGTAGTAGTTCATGAGCAACTCGATATACACTAAAGGCGTAAAATAATATCGATGATCATTTATCACTACATCATAAAGATACGTGAATATTACTTCATGAGCTCCATAGTTACTTCATGTCAACAAAAAATTCGTGAGTCATATTACAATCCATAGCAACAATTTGCAGTTTTATACTTAAACTCATCGTGGACAGTCCGTGTTAGTTTTCGCGGATTAGCAAGAAACATACTAGTAGACTACATTTAGAAAAAAAACTTTGACGATTATCATCACGTTAAAAATAAAGTGCTCATTACTGGCAGTGGAATATTTATTACAATTGATAACGTGATCAACTTTAAATTTTTAAATAACTCATCCACAAAACCGCCAATTATGTTCAACCTAGCAACGAAATTTCAAGAACAAACCAGGAGTAAAAAAAAAGGAAGATGGCGGCTATTCAATGCCACTGATTTTCAATCCTTGATGTATCCTTGTTTCACTTTCTGCCGCATTCTCGGAATATTCCCGTACAGGATTAATGATTCATCCCTCGAAACTTCTAAACCATGTTACATTCTATCAATTATAATAATGTGTATGTTCTGCTTTGGAGCGGTGATAACAATGATGGATATTTCTTACTTTTATATCCATTATAACATACGCAAAGTTATTGAAATTTACTTCTATTTTGCAATCAACAGTTTTATAACGATCGTAACGTTCGTGTTAAACCATCCACGAATGCATTTGCTTTGCATCATACTAAAGATCTCTAAAAAACTTCCTCCGGAGATGTATCAGAGACTATCTGTGCCAATCCACGCCAAGGACATTTTCGGTTTCTTGTTTTTATTTACATATACATTGATCATAAGTTGCAAAATATCAACAGCTTTTATCATCAGCCACCGACTGTGTGTATTGTTTAACAGTCTGTTAGTGTTTCAGATGGATATGCTGTATATAAATTGCGTATGTGTGTTAAAAGCTTGTTTCGAAAGAATCAATGACGATCTGATAAATTTGATCATCATGTACGATAAACCGCATTTATTTTTCTGCCATAAACAAAGAAACCTTTTATTGGAACTTAAGGCCCTGAAGAAGCGACATTTGATAGTTAGCAATTCAGTACAAATGCTAAAAATAATTTTCAGTCCGCAACTTCTCGCAACTATGACTATAATCTTCATCCACGTTACTTTCGAACTGTATTTCAATATGATAGAGTGGGAAAACGGGTTAACTATTAGTTGGCCTAAACACATTCAAGATTTACACATCCTCTTGATTGTGTATTATTTTATAAAATTAATATTGATAGTATGGGTCTGTGAAACTGGCAAAAATCAAGCTCTAAAAATAGATCGGAAGAG